TTTTTTTATGTTTGTTTCTACTCTTCTCAATCTGTGTTCTTGCTTTGAAGTGTCCAACTGGTGGTCTCTGTATATTGCACAGCCTCCCAGACCAAAAAGAAAAATTCACAGCCATTGAAACAATTCTAACTCATATTGACCCTGTAGGACAGCGAAAACTGCCACTTTGGGTATCTAAATCTTTAAATCTTGTAATGGCTGTAAAGTGACTGGGATCAAATCCACTGACCTTAAAATTGGCAACTAAATACATAACTAGCTATCCACCATGTGCCCATTATACAGCTTCTCTTGGAAGTTTCTTAATCCCTCTCTCCAAACATTTTTTCCCCCAAACATTTCTTTTTTGTTTTATCCTGTAACTTATGGGTCTGAATTCTTCACATTGAAAATGGAATGATAAATTAGTGTAATTAATTAGAGCTGATGGGGTCAACCCAGTGCAATTTTTCTAATCAAGTCACTGACATTGAGTTGATGCTGATTCATAATGACCCTGCATGAATGGAACTGCCCCTGTGGGTCTTGAGACTCTTTACAGGAGTAGAAAGGCCCATCTTTATCCTGTAGAGAAGCTGGTGGTTTTGAACTGCTGACCTTGAAGTTAGCCCAATGCATAACCAGTATACCACCAGAAATCAGAGTACCAAATAATCCTATTAACAGCCCTTGAATCCAAGATGCCAAGAAAAATGATTCTTTTGTGTGTGGTTGTTGTTGGACTGTGTTTTAGATTATTTGGTTTCCTTCCCCTATGTTTATAAGCCAAAAAGCCAAATTCACTGCCATTGAGTTGATTCTGACTCATACAGACTCTCTAGTACAGTGTAGAACTACCCCGGCTAGCAGCTCAATGAGTAACCACTACGCCACTAAGGCTCTGCCCTATGCCTCCAGTTCGTATGCATTTCAGAAAAGTTATGACTGTAGCTCCACCGAGCCTTTATGTTGTTACAGTGGAATCCGTTTCCATATATTCCAGACAGAAGTAGAAGCAGTAACTGTTCTTGACGTAATAGTGTGGGAAACACAGCATCATATTGAATAGAAGGTGATTGGAAATAATAAGATCTAAATGCCATCCTTGGTTTCACTTGGCTTTCATAGTGATAGGTGTGAGACTTGAACTGACATGAACAGAAACTTGAGATGTATCGTGAAATCACATTCTCCTACTAGCTTATGTACCCCAATAGATGTTTATGAATACGTATCTGTTTCTGTACCATTACCAAATATTAACTGTTATTGATTAGTGAGACTTGGTCCACTTGATGGTTTTAGAAAAACATTTGAGCCTTAATACTTTATATTTGTCTTGACTTTAAGAGTGCTTTCACTTGTGATTGTAAATCACTCTTATTAATAAGTCATTTTTCTAATTACAGATTAGTTTCAATGGAAGTGAAGGGAGGCGCAATAGAAGTAGGAGATACTCTGGATCTGATAGTGATTCAATCTCAGAAAGGAAAAGACCAAAGAAACGTGGAAGACCACGGACCATCCCTCGAGAGAACATTAAAGGATTTAGTGATGCTGAAATTAGGCGGTAAGATTGACATAAAAAATTTTGCTTTGACTTGCTTTCTTTAGAAAGTGAAACTTAAATATAAAATCCCCATTGCTTTCAAAAATCAATGTAAAGTTTGAGGAGATAAATACATGATTTGAGTAGGAGTTGGGTGATTTTACTTTTGGTTATTCATTATAACTGAAAAAACAAGTTTGGCATCTAATTTTTGTGTATTGTTAAGCTATTTAAACAGCAAAATTTTTTTTTACTTTTATTTTGTGGTTGGGATAATTGTCCTTTTGAATAATGAAGGTATATTTTGATATTTGAGATTCTGTGTACTAATTGTCAATCCTTTATGAATCTCATACCTAACTATGAGGGAATAATTTGGGTTCATAATTTTCTAGTTTCTTAACCCTGAATTGATTGCCTTTTTAAAAGTAAATATGCTTAAAGCACTTTTGAATATCTCAAATAGGAATAGAGGTAAGATAAGCTATGCAGGATAGATTGTAGTATCCTTTTAAAATGTGTTTGTTTATACATAGTTCTTTAAGGGAAATGGAATAACAGCCTCGCTTTTGTTTATGTGAAATTTGTGAAAAATTTGTTCATTTTTGTATTTTGTGCATTTGTTATTTCTTTGAAGCCATTGTAACTCTTTTCTTTTAAATTATAGACCTGACTAATAAAGTTCTCCCTCATTCTTTCTATTAGAAAACTGAACACATCATTAGCTTTTGTTAAGGGTACTTTTAGGATGACTTGGGTTGCTGGACTTTGTCATTAGTTGAAGAGGCACTTCAACTTTACATTTCCTTATTCATCACCCACTTAGGCAGCTTTTTTCCTTGTTTGCATACATCTGAATTAAAGCTGTTCAGTAGACTTTGATCAACACTTGGAATGTGAGGAGGTATAACATGATTGATAATGATTTTGGAGACACTTCCTGTGGTAGCTTTGAACTTTTTCTTTTTACTTTTTTTTTTTTGGTCTTGTGGAAATAATAAAGTAATTTCTGAAATGAAATTTAGCTTCTATTGTTTTATTTATTGGTTTCTAAACTTAACATATACTGGGTGTTAAAATAGTGTTGCATTTTGTGACATTCCGTGTCAATTTTTTTTTGTCTTTAGCATTCATTTTTATAATTAGCAGTTGCTTGAATTAATTTTACACTAATAAGTATTTTACCTCAAGTTACATTATAAATATGCATATATTTTAGTGGATAGTGAAGCCCACATTTAAAACACACAATTGTTTCCTGTTAGGTTTATCAAGAGTTACAAGAAATTTGGTGGCCCTCTGGAAAGGTAAATTCATTAATTTGTCATTTTCTCAGAATTACAGAATGTTAGATGCTTCTGCTCTATTTGGTCATGTCATATAAGATGAATTACATTTTTAAAAAAACCAGGAAATACTTGTTAAAGAATTTTAGATGAGGAAATGACTATAACCGGTATTAATCATTTCATAGTAATTAAAACTTACAGAACGTACCCTTAATATTTTCCTTTTAAAATTATGGTGTCTAACCAGTTTTTGGTATTAACGATTGGCTGATTAGTTATGAAAAAGTTTAACAGCGGTGGGACATTATATTCAGATTTGGAGCACGTTTGATAACGAATTGACAATAAAGTTCTTGAATACATAAATTTGTTTTATACTCTTATTATTTTTTATGTATTTCACACTGGTTATGTAAATTATAACTTGGAGGACATAACAGTAGAGTGTCGTTTGGAGCTTGGGATTAAAGGGAGCTTAATTCTTTTAAATGGCACAGCATTTTTGATACTTACTTGGAAATTGAATTATTTTATTACAGATTAGATGCAATTGCTCGAGATGCTGAATTAGTTGATAAGTCAGAAACAGACCTAAGACGCCTAGGAGAATTGGTACATAACGGCTGCATTAAAGCTTTAAAAGATAATTCTTCAGGAACAGAACGAACAGGTAGTATATTAAAATCAGATTTAAATACATGTTTTTCAGAAATAAAATTTTCAAAATTTACTTTTTTGAAGTTTGCCTTTGTGGCCATTCTGAACTGCCCCATAGAGTTTTAATCTTAATGGAAACAGATTGCTGGGCCTTTTCCTCCCCGCTATGTACCACTGTGTGGGTGTGATCAACCTTTAAGCAGTCAAGCACAAAACAAGTTTCACCATTTAGAGGTCTTTGTTGAATTAAAGGCAGTAGACTCTACTAGTTGGGAGGTAGCTGTAAACAATATTATGTTTTTAATATAGATCCAAACTTCTTAAAACTGTGGGTCCATTACTCTACATGGGGTCACATAACTGAATGGGGGTTGTGAAAAATTTGGCAAGCACTAAAAGGTTTCTGGATGCACAACAACCAAAAATTAATTCAAAATCAAATGCAAAGTGAATCCAAGGCATTTCTGGCAGTACTTGCCTGTGTTGCAAATTTCTTGTATGAAAAGGGGTCAAAAGTGGAAAAATTTCAAGAAACCCTAGTATAGATGACTGGTACATAAGGTATTGTAAATATGTGCATGACAATTTTATTTTGCTTATTTCACAATTCTGTCTAGCTGAACAAAGCTATTCAGATTTAGAAATACACAACTGAAGTAGTTATACTTTTACTAAATTAATCTGATCTTTGGTATTTGGTAAAACAATACTCTTTGTAAATTTCATTCACTTAGGTTGCTTATAATCAGTCATTCACTGCCTTTGAGTGGACTCAGAGACTCTGAATTATACTGACTTTGTGGGACAGAGTAACTGCCCCTTTGGGTTTCTGAGGCTATAATTTTATACAGGAGCACAAAGCCTTATCTTTCTTTTGCAGGAAGTTGGGGGGTCAAAACTACTGACCTTGTAGTTACCAGTTCGACACTTATCCCACTGTGCCCCCAGGGCTCCTACTTTTATAATCAATGGTAAAATCAAAACGAAATCTACTGCCTTTGAGTTAGTTAGTCAGTGCTGACTCGGAACCACTGTACAGGACAAAGTACATTTGTTCCATTGGGTTTCTAGGACGATTTTGCTTCAAGCAAACAACTTAATAGTTCCCTTGCCAGCCCAGTGGGCTTGCATCGCCTTCCTTATGGTTCACAGACCATCTGTGCTATCATGGCTCCTTAGAATCACTAGTAGGTATTGAAAAGCTTAAAGTAATTTTTAAGATTTGCGAATAAGTCTCCTGTTAATATATATAGCAG